TAAGGCTGTGGTGGGCACTAAATGCACTGTTATTTATTTTCATGTGATTGCTCAGTTAAACAGTTTGAGAATTGGATCATAGTTTGATTTTGTATTGCACATTTCCAACTCCCATCACACTGAGCACAGGAATCCCTCAAGGATGTGTACTCAGTCCTGTGCTCCTTACTTGGCCGACACGAGTGTCAAGCTAAATTCAGCTCAACTTATCTTATTAAATTTGCTTATGACAATGGTGGGACTCGTCTGCAACAATGGTGAGACATCAAACAGAGTTTGAGAGAAAGATACGGCTCTTTTCTATTAGTACCAGCCGACTCTGCTCCATTTTTAACCCTCTGGAGGCAGGCATTGCAGATTTGCAACGTTAAAACCTACCTAGCTGGTTACTCCACACACGTATTTCATGAGCATTTTTTTTTTTTTACTCAGAAGTCCCCCTGAAGGACTTAATTGTTCGTCCTTTTATCAAAACTTATTTTGAGCCTGAGAGGGTTAATGGTTTGGGGGCTTTTCCTTTACAACTGAGAAACATCTCAAGTGGGTGGGGTTGTGGACGGCCTCCAAAGTTTGAAAAATGAAAACCAAAACAAAAGTATGCATCGTAGTGATCTGTATGTGGCACAAGAACAACTCAATGCAACAACGGAGGACATGGTAGTGATGTGGAAGCTTCTGCTCACTCTGTGGCTTTCGTCAGACGCCAGAAAGAAGAGACCGGAAAAGGCTGCAGGCAGCAAGGTGAAAAAACTCAGGAGAAACCAGTAGCTCCAACCCCTAGCCAACTGTTTTCTGACGTCATGTTTTTGGCTCGGCTCGGAACACTGGGAATCACACTGACTCAGGAACTAATGAACTGGTGGGAACCTGGCTCTAAGTATGTTCTGGTGAGCTGTGTGGAAACAGCTCTCTGTCCCCGCACATCGACGAAACATCTCCCAAAACAAACTTAAAGAGCTAACTGTGGACTTTAGATCCTCAGGAGACTTCAGTGTGCAAGATGCCCTGTTGCCATGCTCACCAGCTTTTACAAACACACTGCTGGGAGCATCCTGACCAGCAGCATCACTTCCTGCTGCCCTGACAGACCCTGCTCATGAGCCGTTTAACCTTCTGCCATCTGAAGAAGAATCAGTTCCATCTAATCAAAAACAACAAAAATGTGCAGAAGGTTCATTTTTCAAGAGTTAAGGTGCTAAATGGAGTTTACGACCGAACATCTGCTCATATTTACATTTGATCATGTTAGTGCTGTCCTAACTCGGTGCTGTTTTTAGTGTTTCTTTGGCTCGCTCAGTCTAAGGTAAACTGTGTAAAACGGTTTACATAACAACGAGTAAAAGAATGATTCTCATGCCGCTCGTATCGACTGACGTCATTTACAAAAAGCCTGCGGCGCTCCATCAGCCACATCCAATAAGCGCGACAGTCGGTGGTCTTGCTTTTATCCATAGAAACTCACTTAAACCGATGGTTTCCAAAGCTGAGGTTGGGACCACACATCGGGTCAGAAGACACCGAGTGGAGGGTCTTGAGATGAGCAACAGGAATCAAAGGAAAAGTGTTTAGTGGTAACACATGTAAACCGTAACGTTTACAATGGTTTCTGCTCTTGTTAAGCTCGGTTTTAAGAAGCTTGATTCGTAATTGCACCGGCGTCCCGGTGCCACAGTGTGCAAAACTTTTACTCTGTCGGCACGAAGCTGAAACGTTTACAATCTGCTGACCCTAAATGTGTTTTTCCTACAGTAATGGCATTAAGTTCAAACCTATCTTGCTCCCTCCTTTTGTTTAGTCTGTTCTGATTGGATTTCCTGGATGAGGCAGGACATAGAGCTGTTTAACACCAGTTAAATTCAGAGCTCAGCCTCTCCGGCACGCCGCAGCAGCGGCCATGGGTGAAAGGAAATCCCCCGCGTATTAATGCAGACAGCTCGACTCCAGCTGATGCCAACTCCCACCTTAAAATTACCACTCAGACCCACCTCTGCACTGTTAGGCTGCACCGAGTCAGACGAAAATGTCTGAACAACCTTTGATGATGACTTTTATCCGGGAAGGAGAGCAACGAGCATATTCTATACCAATAATCCAAACCGAAATATTCATTAATGAACCCGTTTATTCTGGTTCTGGAACCTGGAGACTGATAATTACAGGCATGCATCAGCAACAGCACGAAAGCAAACATCTCGACACCGTGAAGGTGCCCAGCAGTTAGAGCAGCTCTGACATGTACGGACACGGGCTCAGCTTCGGTACCAGCTGAGGCTTAGACTGAGACGCTGGAACCTCAGACTCTCTCCGGATCTCAGGAGGAACATCTGGCTCCATTTTACAGTGGACACAAGAAACCTACAAACATCTGGAGTTTGTTTGAAATGGGAACAAATACAATAAGCATTCATTCCTGCATCGAATGACTCTGCAGAAGCTGCCAGTTTATCAGAGGCAGCTCTTATTGTGTTTATGTCGAGCAATGAGAGAAAGTAATGATAATGGGAAAAAGCTCAATTCCAAGTCATTAATATGAATTACCTCTGAAAATGTTTGAAGCTTATCTGGAAATATGCTGAAGGCTAAAATAACACTAGATAAGCTAGAGTTTAACATTGGTCTCAGTGACTGTTGAGTTAGAAACTTGACTAGTTTCATAGGTGCTCTATAGGGGGAGTTCTTACCTGCTTTGCAGCTATTAGCTGCAATGCTAGCAGTTAGATTTCAGTTTGCCAATCGTCAATAAAAAGCTCAGGAAGAAGAAACAGAAGTGAGCGGAGCCTGGAAGTAAACATAATTTTTTTGAAGGTGAAGCAAAGAGCTAAAACCAGAGCAAATACTGACGGAGCTAAAGGATGCTACAAAATAAAAAACCGATTGTGACCTGGCTTTGTTGCTACTGGACTTGTAAGTAATAATCTTTTTTTCCAACAGTGTGGATCTTTTTACTTTGTGGTTTATTTTAGTATTAGCTGGCTGACGTTAGTGTTAGCTCATTGTTAGCGCTAGCTACAGCAGGCAGCTGCGGGGTTGTTTACGATAGCTGTAATTCCACTTTCCACCAGTAGAGCAGAGAAGCAGGAAACTGCTCTGTGTCACTTTAACATTCCTTATGTAAGTTTTTTGGGTGAACAAGCAACATTCTGAGAGACTTTTGAAGAGAACTGTGTCACATGACAGGTCAGACATTATGACAAGCCCGAGCGTGGGCTCTGCAGGACAAGCTAGTCTGAATCTTCCAGAAACGGGTATTTCTACCCACAGAATGGTCCAAAGGAGAGAAAATAGATGGCAGCAGATGGGTGGATGAAAATGTCCTGTGACCTGCTCCTGTCAGTTACAGGAGGCTACACAACATTTCTCACAAAACAAGAGAAGAAATCAGAAAATTGTTTCTTGGTCCGATTCCTCAGTTTCAGCTGCCACCAGCAACACGGTTAAGGTTGCTGCTGATGGCAGTCGTTCTTGTCTGGACACCACAGCCCACCTGACTTGTTGCTGACCATGTCCATCCCATTACGACCACATGGACCCATCTTCTGATGGCTACTTCCAGCAGCATCTCGCACCATGTCACAAAGCTCAGATCACCTCTAACTGGCTTCTAGAGCATGACCGTGAGTTCACTGGACCCCAATGACCTCCACTGTCACCAGATCTCAGTCCAGTCCAGACCCTTTGAAATGCGGTGGAACGGGAGCTTCCTTATGGATGGAGCTGATAGACTAGAACACCTGAGGAACGTTTACAACACCTTGCTGAATCTGGCATGAAGATTTAAAGCCGTTCTAAGGACGAATGACCCGGCACTGACAAGGTATATCTAATAAAACGGCCAGAGCATTCTTTGCAATACCTGCATGATTAAAACTTTTGCACGGTGTAATCAGCCAGCCTGGATAATCCAGCTTGTTGCATCACGGATTGGGTTTATTGTTGCTTTCTTCTCCTTGGAAGAGGAGAGACTGGCGGGAGCCGGACGACCAGCTGTGATGTTTACAGACGTAAAACTCAGCAAACTGTCGCGGTTGATAAAACTCAGAGGGACGACTTCCATCCGATTCGTTGTTTACAGGAAAGAAACAATTCCTGCAGCTTTTAAACTTCTGCACCAGGTTTGAGAGAAGATCCCGTCTGAGCCAGTACGGGAAACGTGCTTCGTGTTTTGACAGAGCAGAACCGAACTAATGTCGACTGTGACGCTGGTGCCGATCTGCTGCTTCTGGGCAGACTCGCAGACACACATTTGCAAACATTCCTGAAACATAATCCCAGATTCACTCAGCTATCCACATCCCGAGCACCGTTGCCAGTGAGCTCATGATAACAAACACACGGGTTCGTGCACACACTTATCGACGAGCCTAACGACAAACATGGTTGAAATCATCTCACAGCTGTGTTTGGCCCGTCTCCTCCCCTCCCACTTTTGAGATGCTCTTTCTGTCGCTTCTTTATTTTTACTCAAATTCCTCAAATCTCTAAACACCCCCCCCCCCCCCCCTCCCGACTTCCTCCTCTTCTAATAAAATTGAAAATGAAGCCACAACCACACTCTTGTGCCAGGTTGCCCACAGTTTCCACCCCAGTGGTCATGTGACAGCACACTTGCATCCCATCACCTCTCACCACGCTGATCCTGGCCCTTTCAGCCTTTTTTTCTTTATCTCACTCCGTAGGAATCTGTGTCCTCAGGCCGAGCTGGGAGGAGACGCTTGGCAGGAGACGAGGACAGACGTGGAGATGTTGGAAAAAACAAAAGGAAAAAGAGAGAAAGAAAGCATTTTGTGCAAATAGCACAAGCAGAGTGAGCTCCAGTCATTCACGGATCGCTCTCATCATCCTTGACGCCTCATGGAGGTCTGCTCCAATCAGAGACCGGGAACCAGGGCGGGCTGGGCACATAACAATCTTTCTCATTTTAACCCCCCCCCCCCCCCCTTCCCCCGGGCCATTCAGTTCGTCTTATATGATGTGTGTGTGTGTGTTAACTCAGTCCTCACCTTCAGTGAAAGGCTCCCAGTTATAGAGGCGACCCATGAACTCCTGGGTGTTAAAGGCTGCACACTGCCCTGCTCTGGAGTCCACTGCACCTCCTCCACACACCTGGTGGCCCAAAACACAAAAAGACACAAAAGAGGAAACTTCAGTGCCGCACACTGAACCGATCTGAACTCGACTGAAGTTTGCTTCTCCCCTCCGAGTCCCTGGAGAAGCCAGGGTGGAACGCAGAGAGAGGAAAAGTGAGGAAAACAGCTAATAAAGAAGGAGAGAAATGACTAGAGAGCATGGAGGTAGGCACAAACACACTTTGGCTTTCCACATAAACCCACACACACACACACACACACACACACGGACGCTACGTGCTGCTCTGGGCAGCAGCGAGTGTAGAGGAACCATATGGAAACAATCAAGTTGTTGGAAGCTGCTGCTCACATAAATTTACCGTGACTTTCAGTGAATGTCAGTGATTGTGTGTGTACGTGCACAGGTATGTGTGTGTGTGTGTGTGTGTGTGTGTGTGTGTGTGTGTGTGTGTGTGTGTGTGTGTGTGTGTAATCAGAAGACTCCTCATGGAGCTGTTTGAGTGGAAGGAGCTTCAGGATACCTGCACATAAACACCAGCTGAAACCTCCTTCTCCTCGTATTTTAGAGGTAATTCCCCTTTAACGCACACAACAGCCTCTTCGGATCATAAAAGTGTGTATGAATAGTTAACCGATACACAGACGATTTATTTCTTCTTTACATTCCTTCAAACTAATCAGATTATTTCATTTCACACAATGAACCTCGAAGAGGAGGAAAGAAGGTTAGGAGGCTTAGAAAGAATGGAACTAGAAAGCTATGGGAGTCGGCATTTGGAGGATTTCGGAGGATTTCCTGAGCTACATGAAGCTGGGACCGTTTTGTAAATCACCGCTGAATGGGACCTTTCATGTTTATCTTTAATTTCTAATGTTAAAGCAAATAAATATTAACCTGAATGAAATGTGAAAAGAAATGTGTCGTTTAGACAGTTTTGTGGATATTTTGTTTGAACAGTAAAAGACAAACACAAATTTTAAATTTCTAAAAATGAAATTGTATGTATCCGGGTCCGGGGGCAACATCCCAACTAGGGAGCTCCAGACCGTCCTCTCCCCGGCCACCTCCACCAGCTCCTCCGGCAGGACCCCAAGGCGTTCCCGGACCAGATTGGAGATGTAACCTCTCCAACGTGTCCTGGGTCGACCCGGGGGCCTCCTGCCGGCAGGACATGCCCGAAACACCTCCCCAGGGAGGCGTCCAGGAGGCATCCTCACCAGATGCCCAAACCACCTCAACTGGCTCCTTTCGATCCGGAGGAGCAGCGGTTCTACTCCGAGCCCCTCCCGAATGTCCGAGCTCCTCACCCTATCTCTAAGGCTGAGCCCGGCCACCCTACGGAGGAAACTCATTTCGGCCGCTTGTATCCGCGATCTCGTTCTTTCGGTCATTACCCAAAGCTCATGACCATAGGTGAGGATTGGGACGTAGATCGACCGGTAAATCGAGAGCCTGGCTTTCTGGCTCAGCTCCCTCTTCACCACGACAGATCGGCTCAGCGTCCGCATCACTGCAGACGCCGAACCAATCCGCCTGTCGATCTCCCGATCCCTCCTACCCTCACTCGTGAACAAGACCCCGAGATACTTAAACTCCTCCACTTGAGGTAGGACCTCTCCCCCGCGGAGGAAGACGACAACGACGAAATTTTATGTAATAAATGAACTTTTGGAACTTTCTTTTCAGAAATGTTTGTGTTTCTCAAATTTGAGCCGAGAGTTTTTTAATTACATACATGAAAAACAGCACTGAATTATAATTTAGGCCATAACTGCAATATTAATATGGATTAGTGTCCAAATTTCCACATTGGTGCATCCAGTTACACACGTTCTGGTTGTTTAATCGCTGCAAACACATACAGCTTCACCAGGTATCTCCACCGTGGGAAGCCACTTTCTCGCTGCCTCCAACACAAACACACACTGGCATGCTGCACGGACCTCTCGGATTTCTTCACCTCTCTAATCCCTGTCAACTCTTCAATCTTCTTGTCTTTCGCTGCTCTCCTTCTTTGATTTTTTTTCCCTCCTCTCCTTTTTTCCCCCTCTCGGACATCTTCTCACTCACGCAGCTGTCGCAAACAGCTGGACTTTTTCTGGTTTTTCATCTGGGGAGGCATGAGCAAGGGAATTATCGAGCTTACACACATTCACGGACACACTCACGCTCAGGTTGGGCAGTTCCCACGTGAACCAGCCGCAGCGACAAAGTTCAGAGAAAACACTCTCATGGGTAAAAAGGCCAAAATGTGCTCTCAGTGACGCGAGCCTGCACTGGATTTACCACTTTCAACGCGTTGTTTGTGTGGAAGAAGCATCTGTTCAGCTGGAGAATGGAACCAGCTTGTGAAACTCCATGTTTTCCTGATTCTGAGTTATTTTTGTGCAACATGCTAGGATTTGGTTGAAACCTTGTGTGTGTGTGTGTGTGTGTGTGTGTGTGTGTGTGTGTGTGTGTGTGTGTGTGTGTGTGTGTGTGTGTGTGTGTGTGTGTGTGTGTGTGTGTGTGTGTGTGTTAAACCTGATGTTTCACAGGAACCGTGTAAGTCTAACCTGATGTGTGTGAAATGTGGTCGTTAATGGCTGTAAGCAATTCTCCTGAGCCTGAACTTGATGTTTAAAACTATCATTTCAGTGTGTGTGTGTGTGTGTGTGTGTGTGTGTGTGTGTGTGTGTGTGTGTGTGTGTGTGTGTGCAGCTGCAGAATGCCACATATCTGCAAGAAAAAAAAGAGCCTTCACAAACTAAGAATAATTGTATGAAAGAGAAAATGTGCACAATAATAACTTAGTTGTGTGTATGTAGCGTCATCTCTAGACTGGAATTGGTCATGATGCGGTTATCCAGTGAACCTCGGTGCCTTGAGGTCCACCGGGCTTCCTGACATTCCGGATCTACCAAGGGGGTCTCCGATAAAGGGTACGTAGGCGCGACAGATTGCATCTGATGCCGTTTTATTAGAAATCAACTTTCTAGATTAATGCAGACCAAATTTAATCACACTCAGAACTCAGTTCCTTCCAGATACGAGGGTTCTGATAACATCATATTACTCTACCTCATACACTCATCACCTCATAGTTTCCTAGTTGGCACGTCGTATAATTTGTTTAGAAAGTAAATTTCTTACTTCTTATAAACTTGACTTTGTCTGAATTAAAGGGACTCTAATGAAGTTTGACAGCCAAAACATGTGTAGAAATAATAAATGTCTTCTTCATACATTCTCCTGCAATGCCCTGGTCCTGTAGAATGAGCCCTGGCATTTTTACTGTGATTGCCTGTTTTTCTGTAAAATCACAGAAAAAGAGAGATGCTCGGGTCGAGCAGGCTGCTTCATGCGCGTTCACGCTCAGGCATCGCCCGTAGCATTTGCTATCCGTAGCTTTAGCAGCAGAGAGAGAGGCAGTGCCACTTTGTCGCTGTTCCTAACGCCTAGTGACAAAGCTAGCTACATTTCTGAGGACCCTTAGCTACTTTCTGTAGAACTTTCTTCTAGATATTTCCTGCTAATTAGCAACAAAATAGTCATTTTCACTCCGAACCGTTCTTTGGTTTGACGTTGTTTCAGCTGTCATCAAGGATATAAACGTTACACATAAAGAACATCACTGGCGCTTTAGCTCACCTAGTAAGAAGTCAGACTCTCGTTCAGAAGACCTGGGTTTGATTCTGGATGTGAACATAGTTTATTTAAAGTTTATTTTTTACATTAATAGTATTTTTTTTACAGTAAAATGCCCAAATTTTTATTTGAGACTCGCCGAACGGCATTGAATTCACAGATAAAAAAGATGTGGGTTCAACTTTCATTTTGGAACAATTTTTCAAGCAAGGGAAGGGAATGATCTGAGCATGCAGGAGGACTGACCCATCATAAACCTTTGTCGGCTGTGCTGAAGAGAAAGGTACAGAACCAAATTATTTAATTAATTAGCTGCGCGTTCTCCTGTCCTCTGTCCTCCGGGCCGCACACACACACACACACACACACACACACACACACACACACACACACACACACACACACACACACACACACACACACACTGCATGTTCGGCCGGCCGATGAGAAAGTGCAGCTGCAGAGACAGAGGCACATTATTTTTATTAATTTGCTGTGTTCTTCTGTCCTTAGGGCCACACACACACACACACACACACACACACACACACACACACACACACACACACACACACACACACACACACACACACACGGGACTGTCTTAGCTGCTATTTTCATTAAGCAATGTGAATGTACAGCATGCGCGCCTCGTGCACGAGCCTACTACTGAAGCTGCTGTTACGCTTTTGGCCTGAGGGGGCAATCGTGAGCATGAAAATTCAAAAGTCCGACAAGTCCCTTTAATACGAAGTGTACTTACAATCCCTGAATAAACAAAGAATCTTAATTCTTCTGCTTAAACCCTTTAAGACCAATCAGGTTGGATTTCCATATTTATATAGAACTTCACATCTTATTGGTCAAATGTAGTATAGTATATTGAGCTTAAAAAGCACCCAAAACACATATGTATGCTAATCCTACATATTTGGTAATATGTACAGTGTATTACAGCTGAAGTACACTGTGAGTGCATTCTCCTCCCAACAGAGTTCAGGGTGTGTAAAAGCATCAGGAAGGTAAGTGGAGGTGATTCATTCATACAAACAGACATGAGAAGACGTGTTTACTTGTCTTTCATGGTTCTGCGGGAGAATGTGCGTGTCACTGTAAAATCTCCATACCCTCTAAAGTACAGCACTAGGCAAAAGTCTGAAATCATCCCTAAGATCTTTTTATTTTTGCTTCCAAGGAGTCAGACCGAAGGACTGAAGATAGAGATATCTTTTAAAATAAGCTTGATCAATCTGCTTTTACGGAAAGTTGGTCTTTGGACTTTAACTGAAATGACAAAAGATTAGGAAGTGGAGGACAAAAGAAGACAAGTCAGGACCATAAAACTAATTTCAGCTGATGAGCAGCACCTGAATGTCACATCTTTAAGA